CCCCCCCTTAGAACTCCATAAAGAGAAACCTATAAAGCGAGGTTGCAGCAGTCCTGGCACCATGGTTGCGAACCTCAGAAATAGGCGATTTTTTGGCATTGCCTCAAATTGGGGACGTTGAAAGAAATAATTTGAAATATAAATACAAAAGTAATCTAATTAAGTATTCATTATTATAATTTTTACCAAAATATTTTTTTCTCTCTTCTTTTTTTAGATTCTAATAGAATAATAAAAATTGTTTATTTTTTAACGTAAACAAAGAGGATTTTGAACATTTGACATAGTTTTACCCCAAAACTACAATTTAGAACACGTAGAGCAAGTAATTTAAAAGATTATTGAGGCTTAAAAACGCTAATTTATTTTTTTTGTTACCCTGTATAATATATCAGTGAAAACGGAACAATTTTGTTGAAAAATTTCCCTGATATATAAACATTAAACATAACTCTACCTGGACCAAATCCGGTATCGAGCAGTCCTGTGAAAATATTAATATATACAGGGTGGCTCAAATAAAAAAACGGAGATTAAGGGTCTACAGAGTTGCTTGAAATCGGATTTTCAAAAATCGGCCCATTTTTTAAATCTACATACAATGTCAGATTCAATAAGCCCAATTTTAGGCTTGTAGATAAAAAATGACAATTTTAAAGGCTCCTAAAAGTTTCAAACTGGAGTGATTAATTTGGTAAAAAATAAGATAATCTCCGTTTGCACATTTTTGTAAAAGGGTCTATTCTCGGATTCTTAAAAATCGGCACATTTTTTTAATCTACGTACAATTTCCGATTAAATAAGCCCAATTTAAGGCTTGTAAATCTAAAAATAACAATTTTATAGGCTCCTAAAGTTTCAAACTGAAGCGAAGTAAAAAGTAAAAGATAATCTCAGTTTGCACAATTGTATATTCAATGTTAGGTTACAGTTTATTACAATACAGTTATTATTTTTTAGATCTACAAGCCTAAAATTGGGCTCATTGACCCGGAAATTGTACATAGATGTCTCAATCTTGAAAATTCTATTACATTACAAACAATTAAAAAGAATGTTATTTATTTTTTTTTGCATAGAACTAAGAACGTAAAGAAAAAGTGTTAATGAATGCTGTACGGTCGTCTCTGAAATCTCATCCAATATGGGTAACCCTGTATACAAGATAGATAGATATAGATCCGAGGGTGGGGGGGGAGAAAAGAACTGTCATTGTATAAAAAGGAGGGTCCTGTCCGATTAACAACGATACCCATTACACCTTCTTCTGACAAATATTGTTTTTCATGCTTTTAGAGTATTTTACGTCATTGTTTCTAAAAAAAAAACAGAAATACGCAAGTCAATTTTCTATAGAAATGAAAATAATTCATTCACTCAGTTGACCTGATAAAGCTTTTAATGGTATTGTTGTGAATCGATTATGACCATGTGTAGATGAAGAGCAACTTAAAACTACGTTTACAGTCCCTTTAAATACATAGGGGGGGGCCGGAGGGGGATTTTAAGAATGGAAGAAGGTCAAATGTTACTTTTGTAAATACATTATGGAGGTCTCGGCGATGCAGTTGTGCTAGTTTATCTATGATTTGTTTATCCATGGTTTGTTTATGTTTTCTGAACAAAATGTTTGTTTACCCAAGTGGGGGAGGGAGGGGGGGGGGTCTAGTGTATGTGTATACTAACTGTTTACACATCTAAAAAGTTTTGACAACAGCCTTGATAAAGCTCCTTGTCATCCAGCCTACTCAGGATTAGAGTAGTCCACAAGTCCAGCTTTATTGGCGGGAAGATGACGAATGGGAAATTTAAGCTTGTGTTAATTTTTCCCACACAGAGGGTTTCTTCACATTTTCCTTCCGCGAGGAGAAGGGAGGAGAGGGAGGTGTTGCCTCCTCCTCCCCCTTCTCTAAGATGTCAACCATATTTTCTGGTAACTAGAATATGATCATATTTGTTTCACTCTTAAAAATTTCAGAATCTAAAATTATTGTCTTATTTCAAAATTATATTTTTTTGTTTTTGTTTTTCTTCTCTTACTGAAAATTTCAAAGTTAAAAATGATGTCCATCACTTCCCTTCAGTCCCTGAAAGGCACTGAAGTCACAATTTCAAGCGGTGATCCATTTCTAAACTGGTTGTCCTGTAACGACGGTATCCTTTAAACCCTTTAAACCTATGTCTGATCAAGGATGAATGAGATATTAGTATTTGTCAAGTGAAAATTGAGTATTTTTCTTTGAGGCTTCTCTGTTCAAAAGACTCTAGAATGAATGAAAACTTCAAATTATGTCTACAGTGTCATGTTTTGTCAGTATAAGATACAATATAAATAATCAATTCATCAATAAATCAATTCATCATATAAATAATCAATTCATCATGTCTTGTAAAAGGAACTGTAAGCGTGTGACCCTCTCTATGCAAAGATGACAATGCCCGATTTACAACGGTACCCTTAAAAGCTTTCTCTGATCAAGTATTAATTTGATATCAATGTTTTTGTTTCTTTCTACTGTTCATTTTCATTTGCGGGTGACTTTAGAATTTCTTGCTTATAAGAAGCAACGAAGAAACACTCAGAAATAAATCCTCTTTGAGTATCTTGCACATTTTGATCAGATTAAGGTTTCAAGGGTATAGTTGTAAATGGGGCATTACCATGTGTTTGTAGGATCTCTTAAACAGTGACTTAAATCATCATATTTTGTCAGTATAAAATAAAATATAAATAATCAATTCATCATATGATTTCAAATAATAGAAACCGAATGCCTCTCACTCTGGTTAGTCCGGGGTGCTCTATGCATTGATGACAATGCCCGATTTACAACGGTACCCTTGAAAGATTTGTCTGATCAAGTATAAATTAGATATCAATGTTTTTGTTTCTTTCAGCTGTTTATTTTCATGCAATGGAGAAACAATCAGAATTAAATACTTTTTAAATATCTTCCACATTTTTGATCAGATTAAGGGTTCAAGGGTAAAGTTGTAAATCAGGCATTGCCATTTTTGTAAGAAGGGTAAATTGAAACTATGTCTACAGAGCCTTTAATTATCATGTTTTGTTAGTATAAAATACAATATAAATCTATTCTTTTCAGATGAAATGATGAAACACGGAATGAAGGTTTGGATAAATCAGAAAACATTTCATATTTAGAACATTTAATAGACAGATATATTTTAAGAAAGAAATTTAGAAATAGAACTTTTGAAAGAGAGAAAACTTAAAAGACAAAATATTTCAAAGACAAAACATTTTACAGACATGGAACATTTTTGAGGCAGGAAATTTCTAAAACAGGAAACATTCTGAGAGGGTACATTTCTAATACGGAAATTTCGAAGACAGAACATTTCAAAGACAGAACAGTTAAAAGACAGAACATTTGAAAGACAGACTGTCAAAGACAGAACATTTCAAAGACAGAACATTTCAAAGGCAGAACCTTTCAAAGACATAACATTTGAAAGACAGAATATTTGAAAAACAGAACCTTTCAAGGACAGAACATTTCAAAGACAGAACATTTGAAAGACAGACTGTCAAAGACAGAACATTTGAAAGACAGAACATTTCAAAGACAGAACATTTGAAAGACAGAACCTTTCAAAGACAAAACATTTCAAAGATAGAACATTTCAAAGACAGAACATTTCAAAGACAAAACATTTCAAAGACAGAACATTTCAAAGACAGAACATTTCAAGGACAGAAAATTTTAAACACCTGACATTAACCCAATTATATGAAAAGGTCGTGCAGATCAAGGAGTAAGGAGATATAAACGCAGCCCGCCCTACTATATGATTATAAATGCTTTGCAGACGGTACTCCATTTGTATAAGAAATATTTGTCTAATGTACAATTACCGCGTATACAATAATCCTATTTTGAATATTTCTTATTCAGATGAAATACCGTCTGCGAAGCATACATAATCAGATGGTAGAGCGGGCCCTTCTATTTCATACTCCTTGGTGCATACCAAAGCACGACCGGTTAAAAATGTAGTGTAAGCAGGATTGTCATGAAAAGAACGTTAGTTTTCCGATTCTTGTATCTTTGCAACCAAATGTCGAATACAGACCTTTGATATTTCAAACTATGAATTCTGTTATAATCAAATAATCAAAATTTGAAATATTAAAGGAGAACACCATCAGGTTCCAAAGATAGAGGTATAAGAATATATAATAATTTTTTCGCAGCTTAAAAAAACGGAAACTGTCTGGAATAGGATATTGGCATTATAAATCACTTAAAGGGACTGTAAGCGTAATTTAAAGTGACCCTCCAAAGAAAGATGGGAATGTACGATTCACAACGGTATCCCTAAACCTTTTTTGATCAATAATGTGGAAGATATTGTCGTTTTTCGAGTTTAAAAGTGTTCAATTCTGATAATTTCCTGAGGTAGAATGCGAAAGTCATTTTCGAAAATTATCAGTTTTGAAAATTATTATCATTGATATATAATTCACGCTTGATCAGACAAAGTGTTTAAGGGTATCGTTGTGAATAAGACATTGCCATCTTTCCATAGAGACTATGTTTACACCCCACTTAAGTTATTTATTGATGGAATTTTTTAAATAAATTGATTACGTAGACATCTTTAAATATATAAAATAAACTATTCCAGATTGTTGTAATTGTAAACTTACTGAGTATCTCTGTATGTTCATCCCGACAAGATGCTTCTATATTAAATCACAGGTAAAGTCAAATTTACAAATGGGGGAGATGAGGTTTAAGAAC